GGAGCTGCCGCGCCTCCGCGCTCCGCACGGCCCCCGCCGCGCCACAAAGGCAGAACCCGGGCGGAAGACGAGGCGCTTCCCGAGCGCTCGGCAGAGCTCCGCCACCCGCAGAAACGGGGAGAGACGAACGATTTTCAGAGAAAAGGAAAAAAATAATAATAAAAAAGTCCAACGGGGCTGTTTTAGGGTTAGATGTTACGAAAGCAGATTCCTTTCTAGGTTCGTGGGCCCTGGCGCGAGCTGGGGAGCGTTACAAAACGTGGTGGGTGCTGCAGAGAGCAGACTCGGGAGAAATTCACCGAGGTTGCACCACGAGTTCTCCCAGCAGGTTATGCAAAGCTCTTCTTGAACAACTAACGGCTGCCCCGTAGCAAAACGGGCTTAGATTATCGGATTCTAGTGCTACAACTTCATCCGATTCAAAGGTGTCACTGGGGGAACAGAGCACACCTGGATTTGCCAGTCACTTCCACCAGAGATGGTTTTAAACCTACAGCAGTGAGCCACAACTCAAAGAGCAATCAGAAAAAGACTATAATTAAAATAATCCTTGAAATAGCACCTTGCTTAGAATTTTAAGGGAGGAAAAGACTTAAAGAAACTACAGAAATTTTACTACCTCTGCAGGCAATGGGGCTTTTGGTAAGAGTTACTCATTCTTCAAGTTACAGAAATACCAGAAGTGGTAAAGCTGACAAGAAGGGGAATTGGCAGCCCCTGCAAATGCACTTACAGACAATTGCTATTTAACTGCCTCTTTTCAAAAACATTCTCCAATATTCAGCCACGCAAGCAGATTTTATGAGCAGAAAGGGACTCTGTTCTACCATTACAATGCTGCTTGGCCAGCACTGTTCACACTAAGATATCTAAGGAGAAAAAAAAAACCATCCTCTGTTCCTTCCACACTCTACTCCCCAGAAATACACTGAAAGATTGAAAAAAACCCAAACAAAATAGAAAACCTCCTCACAGTCTTTGTAAAATAAAGCCCTTGGGTTAGGAATGAGGAGGGAAGTTTTTACCACTGGCCACCTAGCCTAACACTCAGAGAAGTAAATTCTGTCATCGCCAGAACAGGTGAGCATGAAATGGAAAATCCTTAAGTCAGAAACTGAAATCCCAAAGACAAAAAGCCCTTTGGGAAAGGCAGCAAGATCCACTGGTCAGCACAGCAACTAGTAACCCAGGAAGCAGCTCTGCCACTGATTTAATGTGGCCTCAAGCAAAGTCACATCAGCCCTACCCTTCCCTAATCAAAACTGTTAAACTGCAACGTTGCTTACCTGTCACAGCAGCATTGCCAGCCTTCAGTTGTCAGCATTTACAATAAGCTCTGCCATCCATCCATCAAATTATGGGCTGATACTCTTTCTACAAAGACTTCAGGATAACTCACTGTGGGTATTTAAAACTATGAAATGTTAGTATAACTGTACTGAGATTCATTTTCCCTGGCTTTCCCCACTGTGTTGTTACCTTCTACCTAATGCTACTGCTTTCACTCTCTAACTTTAGGGTGGAAAACTTTACTCTTAACTTCAAGGTGAAAAACTTTCACTCTATAACTTTATGGTAAAATTACTGGTCTGATCCAAAAGTACCCTAACTCTTTTTTTTTTTTCCCCCCTTAAAATCTTTGCTTAAAAATACAAAAACACTGCCAGGTAACCACATTTGTTTTTCATATTACCTTGTCTTGTAAGAGATGAGCTGTGCAGTTCAGTTTGTAAGCAAGGTCTAACATAAAAGATAGTCTGGCTTTATTTCCTCCTTTGGACTGCTGGAGTTTGAGTCACATCTACTGAATCTCTCTATTATTTTTGTGCTGGCTTTAGAGATGCCAAGAGGTTCCTCTCATAGTCCACTGACATGCTGGTTCTGCACTTCAAGCAACTCCAAGAAGCGACAAGTTTAGCCTAACTGTTTGAGGACACGGGACGAACTTTCAAAATTAGAAACAAAGCAACATTGTAAGTATAATTAGAAAAAACCCCAATGTGAATATAAAAAAAAGTGAAATCAATTAAGATATTTTTCCTTTTGGGGAAAAAAAAAAAAAAAAAAAAAAGATTTTAATGGGTTTAAAAACATTTCTGTACAAAAACTGCTCAATGACCGGTATTTGCCTTCCCATGGTGACAATACTTCTGACTATTGTTTCAGCAGCAACTCCCACAGGTCCTGTAACAGGGACTATCTCTTCGGCCAGTGGTGCCTGGAACTCCTGCAAAAGACAGTTACAGTAAGACTTTTGCTCTAAATGCACTCAAGACTGAAAACTTACAGCAGGTTACCACGATCCTATTGAGAAAGGGTCATGATGCAGAGAAAACCTTCCTCCCTCCAATGCTGCCCTTAGTAGTACTGCTCTTTTATGACTAAATAATACAGAAGGATCAAGCCTCATAAACTACACATTAAGTATCTATTCAGAACAAGAATGTTCATATTTGGCAGTCCTGTTATTTATCTTCCTCCTAAGCTAGGCAAATGTTTTCCCCACCTCTACCTATCTTTGTGGCCAAAGAAAGCGACTCCCACATCTATTAAAACAAACTTTTACTTCAACATTTCAAACCTTCCACCCAGAATTGTCTTTGATTGCATTAATCCTGACTAAGATTTTTTTTTTCCCTTCCTTTTTTCCTTTGAACTGACGTCAGGCTGTGAAATGAACGTGAGTAGGTGTTACGCAACCTCTTCCAATTAACCATGTGCTTACGCTGAGGACAATAGCTAGGCTTTGCCCATAGCTCCAGGGCACGGGCGTGAAAACACTTCACCACTGTGAGAGCAAGCAGACAACACACCTATCAGCTTTCCCCGCCAGGTAGGACATGCTTCGGTTTCCAGATTGTTGAAGTTTGTTAGCTCCAGCAAATTTCTGCAGAGAAGAAAAAAAAACAAAAACCAAATCATCACCACCACAGTGAGGAACCTGCCAAATACAGTATATTCCATGAGATTCATGTGCTGGCAGGTCCCTCTGCTTCAAGGAACGCTGCTTGTTTACACTGTGAGCTCTATGTTTTAGGTCTTCTTTACATGTATGTGCGCTGAATGCATCTGCGTAAGTGATGTTCTACCAGTCTAACCTTGACATGGGAGGCACAATAACCCACTGATGACAAATCTTACCCCACTTAGACAGAAAGATCTGTACAGGTTGTCCCAAATTCACCAATCGGTTTTGATTTTTTTCTCCTGAAACAAGTTTCAACTGACCCAGAAAAGGGATTGCACAGGAAACTGTTTCCTACACTATCAGCCATAAACTTGACCAGTTTCTACAATATGATTTTTAATGAATATCTAAGATGCTCTCTGGTACCATTTGCCCTCCAATTAAATATGCAGGAAGGCAGCATACACAGGAAAGAGCCTGAAATGCAAGAAATGAGCTTCAGAACTTAAAATTAACGCTCGAGCGCCCAATGAGCTCATGCATGGGCACCCTGTTACTTCATGCCTGAATGCCCGCTGACATCACGCACCAGCACCCAAACGCTCCACGCATGAGCACTATGCAGGGTATACATGGCAGGTTTTAGGTAACCCACGTCTGCAGGGGTGACCTGGGATGGGAGACAATGAAGATACCTGTGCTGGTCACAGGATTCCCTAAGTACGTGTTTGTTTTCTTTCTTCTCTTCGATCTCTCAACCTCAATTAGCAATAAATTAAGTAAAAATTCTCTGAGCTGAGACTATTTTCCTAATGACAGTACTTGGTGGAGAATGCCATGCCACACAAACCTGCCATGGCCTGGAATAACTGGACTGACTTCTGAGATTTTTGAAAGTGCCTTGAATTTGGTATTGTGACCAACATTTGTGCTGTGATTCAAGTGTCATGTCTGTGATGTATGGGGGCATAGGTGTGAACAATGCGTGAAGAGGTGGGAAACAACAAAAGACTCTGAGTGGCCCCCAGAAAAATAGCTCTTCCTGAACAGGAAGAGGCTATAATACAAAGCATGAGCTTGTGATTGGAAGTTGCACCTCAGTACCAAGTGCTGTTAGGGAACATTCTGCAGATCCAGAACAAGTAACCTGCCTTCCCCAGTGACTCCCCAGCTGGGTACGTGCTATCATCAACCATTCTCTTCCTTCTTTCACAAATTGCCCGTACCTTGCCTGTGTGAGCTTGCTTGGCAGGATCAAATTGTGGCGACTGCTTCGATTTGCTGCTTCCTAAGGGTGAGAGGAGAGAAGCTGCCACTAAAATTTTCCAGAAAGAGCAGTACATTCCTCAGTGTTCTCTGATGATAAGGAGGGTTCACTGCAGTCTCCCACATGCTAAAAACTACAACAGTCTCTTAAGGACAGGAGATGCTTTTCAACAGATACTTGTTACAAAGGAGTCAAATCTCCTTTGCCTCCTAGTTCCTAGGGTCCAATTAAACAGATGACTTTCTCTACAGAGAAAAGAAGCAAAATACGAATCCACAATCCCCTTGGATGACTTTTGTTTCCAAATCCGAAAAGGGGTGCTAAACTGTACATTTCCCAAGTTAATTTCTTTTAGTATTTCCCCACTGTAAGGTAAGTGCATTGTAACAGTTTGTACTACCTTGGCACCTGCATTCTCACAGAGCCTTTCTCATGGCTCAGCTGTCAACATTTTCCACAGCCTGCAGCACTGTAGCAAGAGATCCAGATCTTACCCGCAAACACTTTGAAGTTGGACTTGCTGTAATCAAAGGGGGTAAACTGCTTCGGTGCTTCCAGCTCCTCTGGTTGCTGGCAGGCTTTTGGCCGTTTCTTCTCTTGTTTTGGCAACTCTGTTCCTGTTTCACTCATGACTCTCTTCTTATTAGCTTGTTCCTGCTGTGAAAGCAACCCACAGAATAGAAACAAGGACAAGTTTAGGAGAGGAGAATGAAACATCTGCGTAGACAATAACACGAGGATGTGGATGAAGTTCCCATTGGGCCTAGACTCCAGTGACAGCTACTGCCTGTGGCAATAAGAGTGCAGGGAGAAAGCACTTATGTTATGTTCTTGTTTCAGCCTAAGCTCCCCTTTTTTTTTTCCTTGCAGCAGGGACTTCTCAAACGAAAGCCAAGTGGTAATTTCACATTAAAGGTTGACATCTGCTGTGGCTCCACAGGCAGATTTGGGGGAACCTAGGCAAGTGAGAAGCAGAGGACAGCAGCAGCAAACATTCCCTACTGAAGATATGAAGGGATGCAAGGATTTGCACAGCATGGTTTCTAGGGGCCTGTTGCTACACACAGGGCAGAACCACAGAGAGGCTGCTATCAAAAGGCTGTCATTGGGGTATTCCATAGTTATGGGGCTCAGGGTTTCATTCTGAACTACGTTATAAAAATCAAAAGGGGCAAAGGCTGGAAGTAAAGAATTCAATGACTTACCATGGCTTGCTGACGAACAGACACAATATTTTCTGTTGCCTCTTTATATTCCTTCTGTGCCTGGTCACGAGCAGCTATGGAAACAAACAAGTGTTACCGTAAAAAGCAGGAGTAAGTTACCCAGGAGCTTAGAAAAAGCAAGCAAACCAGCTTGCAGCAAGTCTCAAACTAAACAGAGTATAATCTTTGTCAAACAAATAATCTCATCCATCAGGAAATCCATCCTCTAAAGTTTTGTTGTAACTGGGAAACAACCTATATGCATTGGGAAAAGCATACTAGCCAACAGACTGAGGAAGGGAAGAACGGCTGTACCTGACTGCTCGGCTGCTTTCTTTTTGGTTTCATTCTTGGCCTCCTTCTGTACTTGTCTCTGACTCATCAACTTCCATCGATTGCTGATCTGCAATGGAAAAAAAATTACTTGGGATCACTTTCTTTGAAGTTTTATGGCAAAAGGGAGTTTATAAACTTGCTACCACATGCTGGTCTTCATTAAGAGTACAAAAGATCAAATTGGATTGTAAGAGAGATTAAGATCTGCTGCACCAGGTAAAGTAAAACCATGTGCTTTAAAAGTTCTGAGCTACAAACAAGCCACAAGAACAAAGGCAGATACAGACTTCAGTAGTAGTTTGTAACTTTGACAGACAGGGAATTTACAGTGAAATGTCTCCAATCTCTGGTTCTTCGAAGGATATTAATACTACAGAAACAATAAACTACATATTCAGAAACATGCCTAGTTTCTCAAAACTTAAGATTCTTTTTCTAAGGAGAATCCAAGGAGAAAAAAAATAAAATCCTATATTGCTGAAGTTCCCAAAGAAATATAACCTACTTATTTGTTTCTTTTGTACTACTTGGCAGGAAATTTTAGCCTGAGTCTTACTTCATAAATTTTTGATGACGGGTCAAACTTTGCAGATTGTGAGACATAGGCAGGATTCTCTTCGGAAGGTAGGTACTGAAGAAAGAAAAAAACATTTTGCTTTAAACACAACATATGACATTTAGCTCACTGCTAAAATGCTACTTAAAATGTTCCAAATCAAAAAGTTCATATTTAAGAAACATTCTAAAGAACCCGAAAAACCAACCCTCAACCACACACCAGAATAAGTTGTTTTGATATTATTTCCTAGTAATTTGACACTCCAAATCTGTAACAAAGTATTCTATTGTTCTTCTGATTCATTAGAAGAATAAAATCAGCTCACTAACTCTAGCCATAGAGATGAAAATGTGATGCAAATTAAAAAAACCTCAAGCTTGACTGAAAAAAAAAAAAAACAAAACAGTGAGAGGTCTGTTTACTACGTAGAAAGACATATATCTAAGAGGCATTTCAGTGTGTTTTGAAAACAAGTCCACACGTGCATACTTTGCAAGAAGGACAATCTCTGGATTCCAGTAAGAGAGCAGCAGCTGATGCTTTATCAAGCTCTTTCAGATACGCTTGGAAAAACAGCTCAGAGCATCCTCTGCACTACACAGTTTATGAGTCCCACTACAAGTATGTATTGAGAGCATTTACCATTCTAAATGGATTTTCAAAGGACTCCATTATACGCTGAGCTTTCTGCTGTGCAGTGGTTAAAGCCTTCTCATTTCCTTCAACTTCATCACATTCCTAAAAAAGAAAAAAAAAAAAGGAAGAAACATTAATATTAGTTTTTGGTTTTGGCTACTGCTGTTCCACGTATGTTTATCTGAAACTTCAGTGATGGCAGTAACCCTCCAAAGAGATGTAATTAACTTGCTGGCCTCCTCTGTATCTCCTAACCTAGTTGTCTTGGTTATGCTATATGCTTGACAGGAAGCCAATACCATTTCCATGCATGTCCCACCTTACTATTTCTTGCAACACTTCCACACAGTTTTATCAGATTATTAAATATGTTTTCTAATACTTAAATACTAGCACTATCACAAACATGTGGCTTACACTGAATATGCTGACAGTAGCAGTAGCAACAAGACATGCTGACTCTGGCTGAGCATCCTGAATATTCATTGTCCTTTCACTGTCTGAAAAGAGGCAACCATGTTCCAAAACTGGTGCAGGCTCTACATGAAAAGGAGACAAAACTTCTATTAGATACTTGTATATTTTACTGCTTTCACTGAAAGTTTCTTCAGGGCTGCTTACTTCCCCATGTCAAAGCCACATCATGTTATTATTAGTACAGTTTTTAGGTTAAGTCCAAATTACCCAAGGCAGAGTTGTTTGGAAAATCATCCCTAGGAATCCGGGAACTGTCGTGTGGTCCAAAGAATGTACTCTCCAGCCTCTGCAGAGAGATTCAAATTAAAAACACCATTAATACACTACTCCATGAATCTGTATATGTTTTGTCATAATGCAGAGACACATTAATGAAAATTCAAATAAAAGGGTGAAATTCAGTGACTGAATGTTCTTAATATAGCTCACCTGCCAGAGCACATTGTATCTGGCATCAAAAGGTTATCTGTGCAAACATCCACTGGCTAAAGAAGATGCTTTACTTCAGACTCACAAGGACAGTAAATGAGTCAGCCCTAGAAACTCACCTGAAACTTCCCTTCAGTCCGTATATATCAGTGAATACAGACTAACACACATGACACTGCCCAGCAGCTAGTGTTTGCTCATGAAGCCTTAAGTGCTGCTACTATGGCAGCTTGTAAAATATCCATTTACAGCTGGTAATATTATGGGTCTAGCAGAGAAAAGTAACATTAAGCTAAAGTAGAGAAACTTGTAAAATGGATGAGAATAAACAATTTACTAGAAGCTAGAATTTTGCTACACTTGTTTCTGAGTTTAAGGCTTAAGACATTAGGTAACCACTATTATGTAAACAGTACCTCGGGGTTGGATAGAGGTGCCCTCTTCTTGACTGCAACACGAATCTCTGACTGAAATGGGAGAGAAAGGTAAGTCAGTTAAATGTTTTCATATGCACTGCCCTCCTTATCAATGTTTTCAACAGATTTATTATAAACTAGCAGGTTAATAGAATGACATTCATTCTTCTTCTCCTGCAGTGTTTGCATACAGATACATTTAAATACCTCACACAGGAAGGACACATTCATGCTCACAAATGGTTTTGTTTCACTAAAGGAGGAAGACTGTGTTAGTATTATCAACATGCTGATGATATATTTTAACTAATGAACCTCTTACACCTAAGGGGTTTTTTGGCTTCACCATAGCTGTAACAGATTTCTAAATCCATTTACACGGCCAACAAATTCCACGAGATCCATTTCTTCCTCACACAGGCAAACATGGTGCAAACATGTTGTCTGTCTTACATGTGTGCAATGTAAGACAGACAACTGCACCCCGGGCAAGTTGTATCTGTTCTTTTACTGCTCTAGTTTTCCAGGAAATGACACTGTGTGCAGTACAAAACAGACAACAGGCAAGAAGAATTTGCAATACATCTTTTTGCTCTGCTACAGAACACTATATTCACAGTGTTCAAAAAGCAAACTTCAGCACACACATCATCACAGGTCACCATTTAGCTCCAGTCCCTGGCTTATGGAAAGCAAGTGATGAGTCTCTTGTGTGGTACAATCTACTCCTACCTTGAGAAGAGGCATCTCCCGGGCCTGCTGAATGAGAAGATGCAATTCATTAATCTGCTGGCGAACTAGTGGTGGGACTGGATTACAGCAAGCAATGATGCCCTGGGGTTCTCTAAAGAGAGATGAGAAGAATTCAGTGTGCTATATTTACGGCCAATATGTTAGGCATTTGCATTCAAAGGATGTGCAACCAGATACAACCACAGTCCTCACTGTGACAGAATAAAACAAGTCCGATTAATCTGTCAGAGTTTATTCTCTGTGATGAAAAATTCTTCTGTAACAAGTTTCTGCAGATAAGGAGAAACCATTAACTCAGCTCTGCTCTCACTCATCTTTTCTGTGGTCGGTCTGTCTGTCCTCATCTTTATTTTGCTCCTTGTTCAGTATCCATCTGTGGAAGCTGAACCCAGCAGTGGACTTGCATTTAAAGATGCATTTTTATTATTCTCAAGTATGGATATTAGATGATGAGTGTCAAGTGTCTGAGGATAATGTTGTATAAATTGGGTGTTTTAAGGGATTTGCCCTTTCTGTGCCTTTTCCCTGCCCAAATCCCTTTAGGAACTGAAAAAAAACCCCAAATAAATGCTATGGGGGAACTCATCCCTCTCTTGCTCTGTAATACTGTAGGAATCTCAGGGGGAACATGTGACATACAGCAATGCAAAGGAATGTGTTTTATTAGTGGAATAAAATCAGAGAGATGATTCCCAGAAGATGTTTGGAGCCTTCTGAAGGAGTATTGCTATTTATTTCTCTTCCAAACTGAACAACTATAGAGAAAAGCAGTATTAACAGCTGGAAGGAAGGAACCAACTGCAGAAGTAATTATGCATTAGGAAATTACTTGTTGGATATTAAGATCAAATGAGACCCCTCAAGGGTGAACAAAACTTACTTGGGCAGCTCCTCTGCTATCTTCAATAGCATATGATTTGGTAGCACATATCTACAACACAAAGAGGAGATGTGAATGTAACAAAATGTTAAAAACTCTTAAAAATATCTTCAAAGTGCACAAGTCTGCCCCAATTACAAGGTCTGAAAAGATGAAATCAGTTAAAAAGAAATTAAATAGGGCCAATCTAGATACATGTAAGAATTTACTGCTACCTTAACAGAACTACTGTGAAAAAGTAGTCTGAGGTAGTTCACTAATTTCTACAGGTAACAAAGTGATTCCACTTCAGGGGTGGGAGAGGGACAATCCAAGAGACTCACTGAAGTATTAAGCCAATGTTTTTAACAGAAGATTGCTTACCCTGTACTCTCATCCTCTTGACGTGCCATCTTGTCTCTCCATGCAAACAGTAACCTAAATGCTGCTAGCTGCTGTGTGTCGAGATGTTTCTTCTGCCTCCTGTAAAGCTCAAGGTAGGATTCATCTGAAAAGAGGGGCTTGATGTATTTCTGGACAGAAAAAACACTCATGATTAGTATCAGATTTGTGATTTCTAGTTTCCCTTGCTTCACTGAGACAGACAGAATCTCACATGGACATAAGGGGACTGAATAAACTCGGGTACAATGTGTCTTGGAGCTTTTACCCTAAACTATTGGTAGGAACCTATCCCTGAAAAACATACATCTCATCCATTTTTAGCGGAAAATCACCCTCACCAACTCCAGAAGCAGCTTTAGACATAGAATATCTTCCAGCTTTACTACAGTAGACAAGGCTTATTTTCATAGACAGTATTTTCCACAGGCACAATATAATTATCTCATAATGTAACTCCAGCTAGGCTTTGAACTTCTAGGAACATCCAGTAGAACTGGAAATGTAACATCTCTTGGAAAAGACACACCTGAAAGCATCAGGAGGCCAAAGAGTGATAGCATTCAAAAAACAGCAAGGCAGCACCTGAATCCAAGGATTTGAGCTAGTGAACCAAGTGACTGCACACAACTGAGTCAGAATTTATACAGCTGTTCTCAGACACACAAAAAGGAAAAAAACCCTGCGTGTATACAACAGACATAGAACAGGCAAAGGCCTTTCTGTCCTACTAAGCCCATACTCTGATCCAGGTAATCCAACCAGGTGAAGCTTTACCTTCAGACAGATGTCCTTGCTGCGTTGCCACACAACCTGCAGCTGAGTGGGCTGCTCATTCCCTCTCTCCCACAGTGCCTCCCTCACTTTATCATAGATGTAGAGCAAGTAGTGAGTGTCATCACGGGCATACTGAATCATTTCTTCTGGCAAAGGGCTAGAAAAAGAGCCACAATTACACTCATACATTTCAGTTGTCCCGTCAATCTGTCACTTTCCTCTTGCAAGGCATATTTAAGGCAAATTGCACATAAAACACACCAAGAACTAATATGGAAATTCTTCTGTTTCCTTACTAAAGGATTTGTTAGGCAGCAGCAGTAACATGCTGTGCACTCTCCAGTTCAGATGACATCTTGTTCCCATGCTGGAAGCAGGAGTGCTGTGTAGCTAAGTCAGGTGGCAGAACTGCTTGCTATGGTATTTGTCATAACTCTGACTTTCTCCATATTACTGCAGTGGTTAAGCACTGCTCCTAAGAAGTGAGCTTCCAGGAGCTTTTCATTACTTAATCTTCCCTGATCTTCCCAAAAGAACCCTCTTTTCTAAAGAAACACAGGAAAATGTAACACTTGGAACTTACAGCACAGCCAGGTAAATGCTGTGCCTGTTCACTTTGAGACTAACCTACAACTACTGGGCTTACAACTAGAAACATACTCCTCCTCTAACAATACAAACAAGGATAAGTGCTGCCTTGCAGTTCCAGACCGTTTAATGGGTCAGTTTTTACCGTATCCTCCAGTCAGCCAGCTGGTACTGCTTGTCAGCATCTACATTGCAATACAGCTTCAGCAAGTGGTCCAAAGAATGTCTGCCAAGATTGAGGAGACGAGCAGCTTGATGAGTATCAAACATGTTCACCAAGTACAGACCAAAGTCTTTCTGCAGCCATTCCACATCTGAATCAGCACCATGAAGGACCTTGAAAAGCAAAACAAATTGAGGATGACAAGAAGAACATTTCTACTGCAGGTTGGCAGTGCTGTGCTTTCATATTCACATGTCTAGGACCAGATTTCTTTTCTCTCTGTCCTTCACTGTTAGGTGCAGAACTACTAAATGAGTGCACTTGGCAAGTAACTCCCCACTTACATCAAATAAACAGGCACATGAACAAGTTACAATGAAAGGAGAAAAAAGTGACCAAGACAGAGCATAAGGTGTGCTTTTAACTATAATAAAGATTAGATGAATTAAAAAAAAATAAATCTGGTGGTGAATTGGTGAATTTGGCAGCTGACCTTCACAATTGCAGGGTCTGTGAAGGTCTCATTGAGAATGTTCATGTCACTGCGCAATTCCAGTGTATCAATAATGAAATCTTCTGTTCGAGTGGAAATCTGCATCAGACATGTCAAGCCCAGGAAACTCCTGTAGGAATGGTGCTGAAAAACATGGAGGAGAGGAAGAAATGAAGGAAGAAAAAGTAACAGAGAACTTCTTACAGAAAAAGACAATTGGATGAGCAAGCTTTCTCTTTGCAGTCACTAACATGACATAAAAGAAAAACATGGGATGATTTGAAAGAAGATCAAATTCAGTATGAAGTGTGCAGCCAGTACTACCATTGGAAAACTTATAGCATTGACACAGTTTAATTCAACCTTACAGATAATATCTGACAGGTCAGGGTCATGAACTGTCTTTTCATGTCAGAAAATACAAAAAGCAGGAGAAAGAGAAGAGTACAAAACAGACTAGAAAAATAAAATGCTCTCCTAGGTATTAACAGTATACATGTAACTTTTAAACAGAAAACTCAATTTTATTACCTCCAAGTCCAGGGCAAATTCTTTACAGTTCATAAGCTTTTCATTTAGTTCTACCAGCTCATCCAGTGTGGTGATAAAATGACAGGGTGTTTCCTTGATGGGCCTGTACATCTGGCAGAACAAATTATCAGGCATGGTATGTTCTCTGTCAATTCCCACCCCTGACCTCCACCCTCAATTCTGAAATTCATCAAGTATACCTGGTTGTAAACTTACCACATCTGCAGTAAGTTTAAATTAATGTGGGCACCAACCTGGGGTTCTGGTTTTTTGAGAACTTCATCTGGTGGAGAAAAATGTTCCAGCTCATACTGGTAAGGGTGAGCAAACCTGTGGAAATTAGGAAGACAGGCACAGACTAAATTTCAGCCATATTTATGAAGCCAGAGCACAGAGACTTTGAG